GGAGAACTTCAAAGGCAGGAATGGGTCAGATAAATAAAGATAGCACAGTCATATGATTCCAATACACCCTCCAAAAATGAGCATTAAGTGTAGATGGAGAAGAGACTTTAAGCCCTGCTGCCTTTTCCTTTAACAACAGCGAACATAGCATTGCAGTGGTGTCCAAAGTGATAACATATTAGGATTATTATTGCAGACTACATATATAATTAGCAGAAAGAATAGGACTGGGTTTTACTGTTGTCCATTCCAGTCATTTTAATGGCATGAATCTTGAGACACTACCTGCCCCAGTTTATCCACTCTGGTTCCTTACAAAAGAATTAGTTACCTGCCTGTGCACTATTGACCCAGAAAATCCTCTCTGCTCTCTCTGAAGCCTCCGGTTATCCCACAGATTCTGTGCTACCAAGTCTGACTTATGTTGCTTATGTCCTTGACCACTGGGCAAGATCGTATGTCCTGCCCCATGGCCAAACTGACTCCATGACTACTGAACTGAGTTGAATTATTTAAGAAAGAAATCCAACATAAACGTTTTTTTTTTTAATAACACAGACTATTTCAGTGATCTTATGCACATAGTCTCTGTGCAGGAGGCTTTTTTCAGAAACGAGTGGGTGGCAAACTGCAGCACGGTGTAGGAAAGAGCGACCAGAAACTTCTGAAGTCAGCTCTGCTGCTGAAGAAATTGTTCTATGAAACTGTAACAAAAGATGCCTACTGGGAGAAGAGGAAGAAGCAATGTAAGTCAGGGTTAAGAGAAACCCCCTTTTTAAAAAATTCTACAAAACAGGAGATGAAAAGTTCACAAAGCTTCCAATTCTTGGAAATCTTAGAAAGAAAACCTCCTCAACATCCTCAGTTGAGACATTTTACCACAGATCTGAGGCACGGCCTTTGGAGGGACAAAGCTGAAGTGAGTTTTCAGGGTTTCTTCTTTGCCCTCTGACCCTTCAGAAGCTGGCCTTGGTCAAAAGGTCAGTCCCATGGGGAGGGAGAATCTGAGAAGCTTGGAGTCTATTGCTCCAGAATACGCCTGGTGTAGTAGAAGGCTTATTTCTCATCCACCATAAATAAACTCAGAATTATTAAGAGACATACCATTAACTCAAAATTTTATGTAGCAGCTGGGGAATCTGCCGAGGATATACTTATCAGTTGAGGTCTATTTTACAACCTCTGCACATAACTCAAACCATCAGCTCATATTGGCTCGGCCTTTCGCTGACAGGGACCGTGTCACGTATCCCACAGGGCGGCTGGAAGCTGCCAGAGGACAATGGGAGTGAGCAGCTGACATGGGCTGCTGTGGCCCTGGCAGAACAATGCAGCTGCTGCAGAGGTTGGCCCTGCTGAAGGAAACTCGCTTCTCTCAGGTTGTCTGAGGGGAAGGACACTGAAGCAATGGAAATTCCCCAGCAGTAAAGAACAACAAAAGAAGAAGTGTTGGAAGCTGCCGTTAAAAAGAGACAGGCTCTCTAAACCTGCTGGCTGCCAGACTTGGACAGCTTCTTCCAGGGCCTGAAAGAGGAGAAGAGGGTCTCCTGGCCGACAGAAAACCACACTGCTCTGAAGGATGCAATCCCCCTGGGAAGTGTAGATTGAAAACTACTCCCTTACACAGAGGACTGAGTTTTACAGTTCCCCACCATCCCAAGTTGGGGCACAGGGTTGAGAGGGCAGCCACTGCCAGGGGCCCTGCTCCTGGGCCGGGCAGACCCCCCACACCAGAGCCAGCCACGAAACCCCCTCCTGCCCTGCAGCGGGGACCTAGGCTCCACATAAGCCCGTGTCTCTTGGTTTTGCATGGGTCTGGAATTCTCTAGATTTCCTCCCCTGATTAAAAGGTGTGGCTGCTGAAGAAATTAGTCTACAGAGCCTCCAAATTCCTTACTGCCATTGTCATATGTCTGCAACAAGAGTATCCGCGAGGCCAGGGCGTGGGGAGGGGTGTGCTGCACCACGGCTAGGGCTCGGCACTGCTCGGGGACCACCGGATCCCCCTTTCTAGCAGGAGTAACTCTGCAAGGACTCTGCACCTGGAGAGGAAACTTGAGGAGTAATCCATATATGCTAGATTAAAGTATCTGGTAAAAATGCCTCAAACCCACACATATCCTTCCCTGAAAAAAATTAAAATAAATCCTGTGATTTTACAGCTTACTTAGTCGTACAGCCATAACGGGTGTTCTTACTGAAACAAAGGGAAAAGTTACATTGATTTATAAATTCGTTACAACGCCAGCAGAAAAAGCAGTGGCTAAGTAAGTACTCCCATTGACTGCCACGGCTTTTGGATCAGGCCCAGAAAAATGCTGGAATAAGTGGTGAAACATTTTATTTTCTAACTTTCTAGTGGCTACTGCAAACAATGGAAAATACAAGCACATACTTAGAATAACTCTATCCTTTGCAAAATGAGATCACACCTAAAAATACTTCCTCTTGTTGCTGTATAACTTCAGTTTATGATAATAGCTATTACACACATATAGTGAAGAGGAAAAAATAGCTTCCCAAGTGCTGGGTAAAAACTCGATATTGTATAGTAGAGTTTCTGCTACAGAAAAAGCTTTAAAATCTGTAATGATTCAGGCTAGTTATTCAAATAGCAGAATGGACAATCCAATTATTGCATAGACAACATGAAATAAGGTTGTAAAAAGCCAGGTGTCTGAGTTATCAAATTATTGCTTGGAGACAGGAAAAGCTATGTGATGATGATGATGATTCTTTGTATCAAAATTATACCAAGTATTAAGAAACAACTGCAAAATGTAGCTGAATTTTAGTTTGCCAGTTTGAAACAATTAGTGCTATTATTTACATCCCCACACATAAGCCCACACATCTTGAACTTCCTGGGATATACATGTGCTATTAATTTTTAGCTTTGCTCTAGGATCCAAGCTTGAATCACCAGGCCCTGTCGCTTTCTAGAGCAAGGGTGTGTTTTGTCCACTTGTACCAGAATCTGCTCCAGTACCTTGGCTTCTCAAAGTGCAAAGGTATTTTTCAGGAGTTTACATTTTACTTTTTAAAACTGTTTCCTACATTTAAATTTCCTTACCAACTTTGAAAGCAGCTGACTTTTGCAGCTGTGTTGCCATGCTACAGATTTCATCATTGCTTGACCATAGTGTTGGTTAAGCTAAAATCTCCGTTTAGAGTGATTTTCTACAATGTTGCATCAGTTCCCTGCTGAGTAGCACAGACCTAACAGCATTTTTCCTGTAACCTGAAGAAGAGTAAATTAACATTTATAGAATAGCTCAGCTCTGATCGTCTTACGACAAGAGCAGTATTTTCTTATGGAGTTTCCTCAACTCCATTACATATAGGCAGAATTGGTTTGGATTTTAATTCTAAAACCGCTAGCAAGATTCATTTCAAAGCGTGCAATCCCCCCAAAATACAGAAAACCAGACAAGAGTAACTGCAAAGTTGCTGCAGGAACAGAAATACGTGCAATTGCTTTAGAGAGCACAGAGCTGACCCTGCTCCCTTCTCTGCCAGGGAAATTTTACCACTGACTCCAGTGAAAGCACAGCCAGGCTAGTGATTTTCTAACACTTGAATGCAAACATTTTTATTCTAAAATGCAGGAATAGCCTCCTGCTCTGGTCCAGTTCTCAGCCTGAGGCTGTAGCCCTGCCAGCACTGTTAATGTCATTGTTTGCGAAGCATATTCCCAGTTTCGCATACACCCACGCAGGGCTCCCAGCTCCCGGCCACGATGTCCCCCCCGCCGCATTGTTTGCGCTCCCCCTCCTTTCTTTCCT